GTGGGGTGGGGCTGGGATGTTGACGTTCATGTACACTTGCAGATGATGTTGATGCTACGCCATGTTTCTTTACTGTGTGTTGTGTGGGGTGTGGATGGGGTGGGCTTGTCTGGTTTTTAAACATCTTTCCTGCCACGACCTTCGAGCAGTCGATACACCATTGAATCACTGGTCTGCCTGGAGTTGTTCAACAAATGCTGCGATGTTTTGTTCTGTATAGCAGTGTCCAGTGTGCAAGCCCTTTGTATCATGTCAGATCCCTCTCAGGCGAGACTCTTTTGATTTGCGGGCCAAATGATTTGGACCACTTGAATCAATTGAATCAAGAGCATGTTGTTTCGATCAATCGACCGTGCGGGAATTTTCCGATTCATGATGGTGTGTAGTTGTTGACATAGACAGGTCGTAGGTGGATTGTAGGTGTTTGAAGCCCATTGCTTTTCGGACAGACGTGGGTCCACCGTTCCACTGGCCAGCTGTTGGTTGGCCTACAAAGACTTGATGCTTCGGTGTCCGTTGGCTGCAATTGCAGCTGGTGGGGAGTACTAGTTTGACTTGATACTTCGCAGTTTTGGTTCTTTTTTTCAAGTCAACTGGCACGAAATTCGTTTTGGACATGTGCACAGGCATGGTATCAATGCTCCAGTGGCTTTTTTTCTGCATACAATTTTTTCTCATGATGGTTTTCGACAAGGTTACATTTGGACACGTCTTTTATTTTTTGCTATAGCCATGCTTACGGATCGACAGATCCTGGCTTTCACCTGGCTGATATGGCTCCGCACAGCCGCGGTGCGTCTCCCTCCGCTGCTGGTGGACTGGGCCAACCCTTCGCTAGGATTTCTCGATGAAGTGCACGCTGTGCCTTGTTCTTGTGTTTTCGTCCATCCATATGTGTGCTTTCTGCGTCGTTTCCATATAATTCTGGACTTGTTCAAACACATGTATATACGGACCTATTGACCTCGTTTACTGCCATTGACGACATGCAAAGCACGCCGGCCATGCAGGTGCTGACCTCGCCCTGCTGTGGCGATGAGACCTTGCTGGCGACTCAGCAGGTGGTCTATGCCACTTCAAATTTGGACTGGCAGCAACTCACGGATGGCTTTGTCTTATTGAAGGATGCCTGGCTGCGTTTGCAACGTGTCTCTCCACTTCCATCTTCTGCGCTTGCCGCTGCCATCCGTGTTTTGTCGCACCGTCTGTTCCTGCGGACAGCTGATTCTTGGGGTTG